TACTGCCTGGTACTAAGTCATCAACAAATGTCAGCTGTTAGGATTACTAGTGCTTGAATGAGATAGAGTAAAATGATGGCATTGGAATGACTGGGAATGTGTCAGAATGAAGTCAGCACATCTAAGACCTAGCTAGCAGTGGCTCTGCCACCATCTAGGTGACTTTGGTTTAATCTCTCGGGCCTCAATTACTTAACTGTAGAGTGATCTTAAGGTACCTTTTATTGAACATATGGTAGATCATGAGAAACAGAAAAGATGAAAGATTCAAAAACATTAAAGAAAATATTTTCCTTTGAATATTTTGGTTTTATCTTACCATTTAATGATATTAAGATTCATTAAACATGAGAATGCTTTTTCAGTACATTAAAAGCTTAGGAAAAGCTTAGATGCTAGGTAATCAACTGCAGTTAAAAAATGGAGAAAAACCCTCAGAAATCACTGGGAAAAATGGAAATAGCCAATATCATACCAAATCTTTAGCTTCATAAAATATAAAATCACACACACACACACACACACACGCGCGCGCGCGCACAAACACAGATGAGATAGGAGCAGCATCTTACGTTTATCTTAAAAAATACACAAGCCTAAGCCTTACCAAAAATCACTGGATGAAAGGATCTCCTTCTAAAACATATTTATGTGAAATGTAATATTGTTACTTTCTGAGCAATCTTAGCTTTCCTAAATGAGTTTTCCAATGAAACTTAAAAATAAAATTGGTTCCATACCTACACCTTTTCACAAATTATACATTTTTCAGGGTTTTGCAAATTTTGTTCAAATTACTTTTCTTTACCAGTTACAAACTGTAGCATTTTAACTTTCTTAAAATTATCCAAATGCATGGCTAGATATTCCCACTGTTTAGCCAAAATAAATGGTATACACAGTCCTGGGTGAGAGTGACCTTGCTGATCTAGCCAGCCTCATGTCTTTCGAACTTGTCCTGCTTATGATATTGAACTCTTTGTAGCTCCAAGATTAAGTCCTGCTCTCTCAGGAAAAAACACTGTACCTTTGCAGACAAGTCTCCTTCAGCTGGAATATTCTTTCCCCTTCTGTTCGATGACACACCCATCCATCAAGTCTCACTCCAACAGCATCCTCTGAAAACCTTCCATGATTACTCCTGCCATAGCCCCCATCCTGACAGGTCATATTAAACCCTCTTGATATTACTCCCTTGCCATTTTGTATGTACTATCACTATACTGACTATCTCTTTTTATTATTTTTGTTATATCCATTTGAAGGCAGGGACCGTGATTTCCACATTGATATCACCCTGGCACAGAGTAGGCATTGTTCGTATTTGTGAAGTACTGGAAATACTATTGTTCTCAATGGATAAGAAAAAACTCTTACAAACAATAAAATAAACATGGTCTTATATACTTTAATTTGTAGAGTTATTACTCTTATTCCATAACAACAACAACAACAACAACAACAATAATAATCATAGTGGTAGAGCAACCAAAACCAGAGAGGAATCAGCACAAGATTTAAAATTAAAGAAACAAATCATATTCTATGTCATTCTTCCAAAAACACCTTTTCTGGTATTTACAATGACATTGAATATCATGAAATTAAGAAATGCTTCCTATTCTCCCCATAGATTATGATCTTTAACTCAAATACATGGCATTTAAGAGTTTCTCCTCTCTTTTCTTTCCATGGACACCAAAGAACATAGCACAAACCAACTTTTAGCAATAATCTCAAATAAAAATAAATCTTGGGATAAGATTCATCAGCAATAAAACCACAAATGCCATTACCATTGAATCTGTCAACTTTCAATCTACTTAATGTCAAAATTAATCAAATTTAATAATTTTTCTAGAGTGACATCTAACAATCTAATAACATGCCATTGTAAGTAAACTCATACACATATACTCAACGTTATCAGTGTACTTCAAATATTCATATAAAAGTACAAGTAGAAAATTCCACACTGGCCTATAGAATAATTATAAAGAAAATGCAGTTGAATAACAACTGAACTGAAATGGAAAATATCCAGCACTTCTCAGTTACGAACAGAAACAGTTTCAATTAGAAAATCAGAGTATCAGAAGAACTCTCCGGGAAGTTAAATGGAGATGACAACAAGAATATTTTCTAAAACAGGCCATTTCTTTATGCAGTTACTTGCTTCCAATTTATTGCCATCATATACTTGTTTACCTATAACGAAACATTGCTCTGCTCTTCTCTTAGTAATCAAAACAAGTTAGCTTTGTTTTGTCTAAAAAAAGAAAATGTGTTCCCCAATAGTTAAGATACTATTTTGGAGAGAAATAATTAGAAATATTTTCAAGTACTAAATTCCAGTGACCTCTAATCAGGGAACAGCATAAAATATATACCTTCATATGAAATTTAAAGCATATTTAAAATTTTTGCTTTGATTTGTGGAACAAAGATTTTATAATTTAAAGACATGCATATATTTTAGTAATATTTTGGGATGTCAAGAATGGGTCTAGGTGTATTTCTTCAATACTTGAAAAATGAAACTTTTGATCATGTTTTAGATTAGTTTAATTGATTTTTGAAATAATTTATTGGAAATTTTTCCAATAAGGAAAAATACTTTTCACTCTAATGAACATTGTATATATATATATTTTTTGACATTTCTTAGGAGGAAAAATGTATGACATGTCTTGAGTGTATCTTTTAACTATCAATCAATTAAAACTCCACTGTAATTACTACTGCTACCACGTAAATAGTTCTATAGGACGACACATAGGAAAATGGTTTTATAGCACAATTCACTTCTATAAAAAATTCAATCCAAAGAATAATTTATTTCCTCAATATAGTGTCATGTATCAGTGAGGTACTAAAATGAAAAAAAAAAAAAAAAAAAAGAAAGAAAAGAATTAATCCAAAAGAGCATTTACATAAGTTTGAAGAGGCGTGAAAGACCACTGGCTAGAAAAAACATAACATTCATTGAGTAATCATGATTAACAAGGGAAATAAGAAGAGGAAATAGTTTAGAAGAAATCAATGGAAGTAATTATGAAAGTTATATTGTTGCTATAACTACTAAAAATCATGTCAAAAAAGAAAAGTATTTATTAAAATAAAGACAAATAATATTCTATGCCAAAAAGACAAAACTGGGGCTAATATGTCAGGGTGCTTGTCAGCATCCTGACAGATATGACCAATCAATCACTGGAATCTTTGTCGCTAATCCTTGAACTCTTCTCAATACACAACAAAGAGAGCCACTACCAATCACTGAAAGTTGGCACTGAAACCTATTGGTTAAACCTGCTCTCAGGGACATTGTTCAAGATATTCAATCAGGACCCTTCCCTGCAGGCAAATAGTACAGGACTGTGCACAACCTTCTAGGATATGTAGTCAATCATAGGTTGACTTTCAAAAATTTGTGAATGCATGAAAATTCTTAAAAAGCAAAATAGAAAAATATAATTACAGCAAATAATGTTAGGATTTGGTGAGTGGGATAAGTTTTTAAAAGCTAACTTCTATCTATTACTTAAAATGGTTTTAATTCTGATGATATAGACACTTAAAAATATAGTCATCCATTTGCAATGAAAGCAACCACTACAAAAGCAGCAATAAATTGAAACAGTTCTCTAAACCACAATGCAATAGGAATTAAAGATTATTATTGGTAACTGAAAAATTAGTAAAACCATTTCAATATGTGTGATTAAAGCCATAGATAGTCTAATGGTTTGAAGAAAAGCTGAGACAAAATGAATAACTACAGTAGAGAATATGAAACCCAAAGTAGCTTTAACACTGTGAGCATAGTTACAGATTTCCTCTAAAGAAAGGGCAAAACCCTTTAATGTTACTTTTAACAAAAAGTATTTTCATCTAATTAAGTTACTAATAATGCAATTTTTGTCAAAAATCTTTAAAAATACTTTATAATGTGATTTGAGCTCTGTTCATAAAAAGTAAAACAGAAATATAATCATGGTGGCTTAATTTTAGGTATCTTTTTAATTTCTAGAAAACTAGTATCCCTATTTTTTAATAGTTTAAAAATACATAACCATATTTGAACCATATTTGAAACATAAGCCATAATTTTAGTTTTAGGATAAAAGTGAACACTAAGCAAAATGTGTGTGTGTTGGGGGTGAGGAATTAAGTAAAAAATATCTATTGCGATCAAATATGTGTATCAGGTGAAACTTTGTTCTGCTGTAATTATACATATAACTTCATCAGACTGTTAAGTCAAAGGTTATACAATGGAACGCATTGGAGAAAAATATACCTCAATAACTAAACAAGCTTAAAGTCCACAATAATTCAAACAACGAACCCTGCTCCATGTTAAACAGTATTATATGCTACTTCACATGAATAAAAACTGCACCAATTGCCCATTTCATTTTGCTTATATAGACTTAGCCATATATAAGATCTGACATGAATTCTTCACAAGACCTTAAGTTGTACTGACAGTAGCAGTAAAGAACATTTCCAGCTACAAGCAATTATAACCACAATCTAAAAAGCATTGAGACTGAGTTACTGGTCTTAATTAGAGAAAGTTTTCTAAAATTTCCTTTGAAAAAACTAGCATGCTAAACTCTTTTATCTATAACTTTATAAGTAATGTCTTTGAAAAATGAGAACAGTTAACATATGAAACAATCTTATTTGGCTATAAGACTGCTAATATGACTAACTTGTGGTATATCTTACCACTATGTTATTCATGATTATAATAAAACAAATTTTAATTTATAGGTAAGTCATTGACTAATTAGGTTTATGTACTACAAGTAAGATAGAAAACAAGTGTTTCTGTAAACTATAGAACAATTATAAAATAATGCTTTCATATGCAATATGAAAACCAAAAAGAAAATGTTTTGTGAAATAAATTTATTGCTGTATTGTAGCAAATATGTCACTTTCTCGCATTCTATTAATAAAATGGAAAAACATTTTAAAAATGTTCTTACCTGTGTATACAGTTTTTACTTTCGAGATATGACATACCGGAAGCAGCGTCTAATGAAAATTTCACTAATTGTTTGAGTTTTATATCATCCTTCTTCTTTCTCAGAAAAGAGAGGAAGTCGCCTCCTAGAAGAATTGATAGATGAATAATGAGACAAAATCATGAGGAAAGTCACATTGATCTCCTATTATAGATACCTAACATAACAAAAGACATTACACATTTGGCTATGCTTTTGGCACATTTTGTGTAAGGTGAAGATAAAAGAAAATATGGAAAGAATACATCTTATTAGAAAGCAGACACCATAAACTTTCTTAGATGTGGTTAAGCATGTTAAGTGCTTCACACTGCATATTACCCAGCACACGATAGTAGTCAAAGTTATGCTTTTTCCTCTGTCACAATTTCTCACCAATTTGCATAGCTAAAATTTCCTAAGAAATTTTATTATCTCTAATATTAACTAAAAGGCTGTGATAATTATGAGTTAAACAAAAAAGTTATGAAATTAGTCCTCAGATACAGTGATTGCTAAAAAACCTGAGAATATTAAAAATACCATTACTGATAGTAGAGTCAGAAAGAAGGGGGGAAAAAGCTGATTTTGATAAGATTTAGTTGCTCAGCCAAATTACATTTTTGTGAATCAAAAGGATTCCAGTGAGGTTGTAGAGAAATTCCCTAAACCAACATGGTCCAAAAGAAATATAATTCAAGCCATATAGTAATTTTAACTTTACTGTAGTCACGTTTTAAAAAGAAACAAGAAAGGTGAAACTGATTTTAATATATTTTTCTTTAGCCAACAGATCCAAAATATTATTAATCAACATGTATCATTATAAAAATTATAGTGGAGATATTTTACATTTTATCATCCTAAGTGTCTTTATAATGTTTATTTTACATTTATGGGACGTCTCAATTTAGACACAAATTTTCATCTGAAATATGATTTGTATATAGATTTCATAAAATTTAGTTAAAAAATAGATTCATATACATAAGTTGTTCCAAACATGCTTGAAGTTTTCCAATAATTGAATCGTGTATCAATATTTAAGTCAATTAAGATTAAATGAAATTCAAATTCAGTTTTTTAGCAGCACTGGCCATATTTCAAAAGCTTAAGAGCTACATATGGCCAGTGATTACCATGTTAAATAGTGTAGCCTTCAACTGTGCATTCATTTTTAACATAGTTTTGAAAGCTATGGCTTGATTATTTTTCCTTTTAGTGTAAAGTGCATTGCATTAAAAAAAAAAAACCCACAAAGTTAAAGAATATTAGAATGAATGTTCTCTAAAAATAATCATTCCCACTTTCTATTTTAAGTCAGATTTTTGCAAGAGAAATCTTTTTCTTTAATGAGAGTACTCAGAAAATAAGCACCTGCCTAATTCTCCTTATAATGTTCTCTTTTTCAAACTTCTCTTATTCACAAGTCAAGTGTTAGAAAAATTTAGGTGGGCCATTTACAAAATCAATAAGCTATATGTTTAAAAATAATTTTGTGTCAGTTTACGTTTTTGGTTTTCTTAGGAGAATATAAAATGTACAAATTACTAGAAAGATTATTGAAATAGTTTCCATTAAGCTTAACTTAATTTTCTAAACAAAACACATAAATTCAACCGTAAATAGCAAAATTAACCACTAATTTTTCAACTTTAACAGGTACCAAAAATGTATATTAAAATAGATTTAAAATCAATATTTAGTTCCTTTTAGTGTAAAATGCTAAAATGCATTGGACCAATATTTACATGTGTTAATTCTTTTGTTAGATATATATTGGCCTGTTTTAGAAAAAGTGTGCCCTTCTGGTCTTGAAACCACATAGCATTTTTTTTAGCTGTGGAATAACGTTCAAGTGAAAACATCTTTTCTGGAATTTGATTTAAAGCAGTATATGACATAACTTCAGTGTTCTGTTGAATGCTAATATTACTTCTTTCCCAAGTTAGTTCATATTCAGCACTTTTCCACCTGCCTCCTGCTCTTTTTAAATTTATTCCTTCTCGAATGCCCCAACCCCTGTCCCAGATTGTAAACCCTATATAGAGAATTGTGCCTTTGTTGCTCAGTATTGTAATTTCAGATGTCTAGAAATGTAATACCTACCACATGTCTAGAATGTAATATCTCAATAAACATTTCTTGAATGAATGTGTGAACAATGTATATATATCTTCTTCTTGCAGCTTATAAGCTACCCATAAAGGACCATTTCCATTAATCTTAATTTTTTCTCTAGCCCCCCTCAATGGCTAGCACTATGTTTTTTAAGTACTTGTTAAAATTTTTAGAAAAGGATGACATTACATTTCTTATCAATAGTACCCAATGGATGCCATAAAATTCTTTAAATTCCAACAATAAAACAACATATTTAAGATGCTGAGCTCATCTTGATAGGTGTTTCTTTAACACTACTGCCTTAGAAATTACATCATTTAAAGAAATGATTTGCAAAGAAACAATCCTTGGTAGGTGAGACTGTAAAATGACACATGCATAATCTGTTAATAAACAAAGAAAAGATAACATTAAAGTAGAGTTAAAAATTGGTTGAAAAGTGATGTCAAGTCAATAAGGTAAAGCACCAGGAAAGCAGTGTTAGATGCAGCTATTTCCAAACACTGCGACACAGCCAAAGATGCAGACGAAGAGGCGTCTGAGTGTGTCTCCATTAATCCCACAATATTTCTGCCTCAAATTTCTAGCTTAAAATCATTAAATTATTATTTATTTCCAATTTATAGTTAATCAAGCTGCAGACATGGTGACCCTAAGAAGCAGAACTGCACCATTCCACAGCCCTAGTCAGCTTCTTACAGAATATTGTAGAGAAGCAAGGCCTTCAGTTAAAAATAATTATGATTTAGTACTGAAAGCCTGAGGCTTGGGCAAGTGTAAGCACTAAGAACCCAGAAGCAGGAAGTAAACTCACCAGGGGATAGAGTATGGAACTAAAGCAGAAAGTAATTCAGACTGGGCCAGAACTGTTTCCTTAGGCACAATACTTGATTATTACCAGTAAGTGAAAAAAACTGGAGGCAGACATCAGATCATGAAGTCCTTAGAATTCACTGGGAGGTTACTGTAAAGGATCGTGTTTGTTCCTTTAAACTCATTATTTTATCATTAAGTGCCAAGTTAAAGAAACTCTCTTAGAATTTGTGATATACATGTTAATCATATATGCTGTACACATATGTGTGTATGCATGCATATATGTGTGTGTATGCACAAAGCACACAGTGCCTTACCTGACCAGTGCAGTAAGGACCTTAGTGTTCAAAACGGGCAAAACAAGATAACTTTCTTTTTGGAATGCTGTCTTAAAAAGGCTCATTTCTGTATGGGTAGACTGCATATTAAAGCAAGATAGGATGGATTATTTTCTAGAATTCTTCACCAGTGATGAATTTCTAAGACAATACTTTTTTTTTTTTTTTTTTTGCTTCCTAGGGCAAGCATGACATGGTGAAAAGAGCATGGATATCAAAATCAGATTGACCTAGGTCTGAGTAGCTATGTGGTCCTGGGTAAATTGTTTAAGCTTTCTAAACTTTAAAACAAGGATTAATTCCATTTATTCTTCAAGATGGTTTTGAAGACTAAATGTATCTAAATCATGTGCCTAGCACATAATATACACAATAAATACTACTACAACTTGTTGTTGAGTTTATTTTTCATATAAAGTGAGGGAATTGTAGTAGGGCCTGGTTGTTTGTTGCATAACATGTCTTTTCTCTCATTCATTTCAACTTCCTTTCTCCCATTTTGGAAAGTATTTTCCTCAACCCCAACAATGAGGGTGGACCTAGATTAACTTAATCAAAGAATCCCTGTGCAAGTGAATGGTTCAGAGACAGGCACAGGGATAATTTCAGGCCAGTGAGGTACTACGAGGAGATATTCAAGGGGTGAAAGAAACTTTTTTTGAGAGAAGTACCAAGAAAGTTACACATTATCTACAACTGGAAGTGTACAAGCATGTCATACCACAAAGAATGACAGCCTTTGAATGAGGCTGTCACCATGGAAAGCAGAGAAGTGTGAAAGAAAGGTTTTTTGATCAAACACTGCTTCAAGAGCAACCTCCCTCTAGATTTTTCAACTAAGTGAACTAATAAAATCTCTATAATTTTTTTATAGATTTTCTGTATTAGCAACTCAAAAATCCCTAACGGAGAAAATAATATCTATATCAGATGAATACTTGGAGAATTAAAAAACATAATATAGATATTAAACATGTGGAACAAGTAGGATACAATGAAAGGAAGTGTTTTATTATTATATGCGGGCAACTTTTAGTAAGAGGATAGAAGACTGTTCTCAATAGCCCTTAAAGATTTCTTCATGCTGTAGAAATTTGGTCTTACCTGTTATTCAGTATTAATATTAACGGGAGTCTGAGAAATTGATTGCATTAAACAAACTTGGAGAGATTATGTAAACAAGAATACTAATTTATCAGTTTGTCATTGGAGAAAAGGGGTCATCAGGGCTATACCACTAATGATTTCTTGTCACTGAATCATATCAAAATCTTTGTTTATCTTCAAACAGCTTCAAATTTTATTAAATTAAGAGATACCAGCCCCTAGTGATATATAAAATGTGTAATTCATGACCTGTGTTCTTTAGGATATAAATTTGTTCCTGAGAATTTTGGTTTAGTTGTGTTCATTTATACATTTAAAATAAATTGTAGAGAGCTAGTTAGAGGCTTCATTTTTCACTGTTCAGAGTTCGTATTTAAACAATTAACTTTTGCTCTTTAACCAATAGTAATGAGAGCTGGAGCTGTTAGCCAATCTGTCAAAAATAAAGAAAAAAAATCTATATGCCAATCATGAATGATGAATGCTGATTCAACTTGCAGTCCATGAGACACTAAATAGGTATTATGTAATTGCAGATAAGCCAAAACAAGTCATTGAAAAAGAATCGATGCAAACACTGAAGCAGAGGATACTGACTACTATATGTGGAGTATGTATACTTATGAGAGATGGTTTCCACAAAAAGAGATTAACTAGGAGAATACTAGAATACTAGAAGATGGTGAGGGTTTATGTTAAGAACTATCCAAAAAAAGACTAA